GAGGTGGAGGCCCCCTTGCAGCAACCAGAGGTGGACAAGGACCGCTGGGGGGGCAGAGGGAGTCAGTCGGTGGGCGGGCAGAATCATCAGAGGGTAGCACAGCAGGGAGCCCCAGGCCAGGGAGCTCAGGACTGGGAGGCAGGTTGGGGTAGAAAACTTGGGGGGGAGCCTGTAGCCTGTCACCCCACCCAATGCCGGGATAATGGTGGTCAGGCACTGCCAGCCTCCTTGCTCAGAGATTCACAGACCACCGACGGTGGCCGCCCCTCCCTGCCTCAGTTCACCCGCCCACCTGCATGGCTTCCAGGGCTTCCTTGAGCTGCTGCCTCTCTGGCCGGTCAGTGGAATGCGCCAGAAGCTCCTGGCAGAGTGAAAGAGGGCGTCTGTTGGCCTCCATCCCCGGCCCAGAGCCATGTCCTTGGGCAAAGAGGGCCAGCCCCCGCAGACAGGAAGGGTCTGCGCTAGGGGTGCCCATCTTGTTGGGGAAGGGGTGCTGGAGCAGAGGAAGGGGCTGTCGCAACAGGTGCCGTGCGGAGCCCTTGTGGTCCTAGGTCCCTCCCTCCACGGCCACCACAGGGCTCAGAGACAAGCCTGGGCACAGGTGACACGGCCAGTCCCCCTGGACTGGGGACGGTCCCCTGTCTCAGCTCCAGGTACTGAGATGGCAGTGGTGTCATCCTTGCCCGCCGCCCGTCTCACCCACCTTCAGGAGCAGGTGGTACTTGAGCACTCTCTGCATGGGCACCACCAGCAGATCCTGCAGCTTGAACTTGCCCTCCTGGACCTTCAGCGTGCACTCCTGGGGCAGTCAGGATGGCGTGTGAGGGTGGCCCGGCCTAGCTTGATGACCTAACCCATGGGAGCCCCCAGGGAAGCCCACCCCTGCCTAGAAACCCTGCCTTGCCCTGGAAGTGATCCCCCCCTTGCCTGGAGCAGACCCAGACCCTGGGCTCAGGCTGCCAATGAATGAGGTATGTGCAGATCAGGGGGCGGGGGGCAGGCCTTGGGGTTCCCAATGCAGAAGCCCCTTGGCTTCCTCAGCCCTGGGCTTCTCGGGCTTCCCCCTCTGCCTCCCCTCCCCCCCAGCGGTCCTGGTGCCCACTGCAGCGGCGAGCTCCAGGGCAGCACCCTCAGTACTAGGTTGGGGTGAGCCTGTGGTCCCCTATTCCCTCTACCCCCAAGGGTCTCACTTATCCCATCCTGCCCGAGCCCTAGCCTGGGGCAGCACCTGTGCCTGCCCCTCCCCACCCCAAGGGGACCCTTACAGACAGCAGGTCCCCACCCCCGCCCACTGGGACCGAGAAAGAGTGGGTGAGGCCAGGCCCGCACCTCCACTTTCTGCCTGAAGTCCTCTCGGGCGGCCAGTAGCTGGTTGAGCGTGTTCTGCGCGTGTTCCATGTGGCTGCAGTACTCCCCGTAGATCAGGAGCCTGGGCGGGCACACACGCATGAACACACATGCACACAAGCTGGAGCTCCAAGCAGGCAGTCCGCCACGGTCGCCCATTTGTCAGGTGTGGTCCCCACCCTAAGACTCCACCCTAGGCCACTGCTCTGTCCGAGCCCCGAACCTGCTGAGCATGTGGGGCTTGGGCCTGTCTGTCTCAGGAAGACCGCACACGGCCCCTTTCCCTGTCCCAGCCCCACCCCACACCGGGCAGCCAGCCTGGCTCCCCTGGGAAGACTCGGGGTGACACACCTGCCCCAGGGAGGGCAGGCCCCACAGACCCTGAGATGAGCCGGGGACAGCAGGGCTGCTGGACCCAGCACCCACACACCCCAGCCTGAAGGTGGCTGCCCCTCTGCGGGCTTCAGACAGCGGGACAGACAGCAGAGCAGTGTCCCAGCACTAGGTCAGGAGGACCAAGACTCCCCACCCCCTGGGGCAGACCCCCCAGAGGCCAGCCCACCCCTGACCTCTCCTTGAAGTCCAGGAAGACCTTGGCCAGGGATCCGCCGCCTGCCATCATGGACAGGTCGATGGCCCGCAGGAAGCTGTGATGTACCTTGATCAGGTCCTGGGGGGC